CAAGTTTAGACCCGTATGACAAGTGTTATGATGACCTGAACTCGAGGTCATTATAACAGATCTCGAGATTCTGTACTTTTATTTCTAATGTGGTAGACATCAAAGATTTCTCCAGATTAGGTTAAAGTTCACTGACCCTCTGCTGATGGTCATATCTGTTACTACACTATAGCCTATGGATAAAACTATGATTAAATGTAGGTAATATTGTAGAAAGTAGTAAATAATGTTTCCCAGAAAGTTGATTCTGTTCCTATGGACCACAATTCACTCACGTTCTGTGGACAAACACATCAAGTTCACCAGGGAGGATATGAAATAGGACAGGCAAAGGACAAATTACTGTGAGTAATAGGGAGACTTTTAAAAGTTCATGTGTACCATAAACTAATGCTTACAGCCCAGTATTTAAGGCATAACTCTCACCAGTCTCTGGAGCACAAATTGGGTATTATTAGAACGCTACAGCACCATCTCCTCAGAGCACAGTCCCCCCCCCTGCAGGATCCTCCAGGATCCAGAAGGTTAATCACTGCCTGCATAAAAACTGTTGGTGATCCCTCATGTCAGGGGTGTCCAACTCCAGGCCTCGAGGGCCGGTGTCCTGCAGGTTTTAGATGCGTTTGATCCAACACAGCTGATTTAAATGATAAAATTACCTCCTCAACATGTCTTGGAGTTCCCCAGAGGCCTGGTAATGAAATAATCATTTGATTCAGGTGTGTTAACCCAGAGTGAGATCTAAAACCTGCAGGACACCGGCCCTTAAGGAGTTGGATAACCCTGCCTTATGTGAACAGCTGAGACGGGCTTTTTGAAAAACACAGCATCTCTGTCACTTTCCAAAGCATACTACGCCAAAAAATGGTCCACTCCAAGGAGCCCAGGTCTCTCGGAGTAAACAGAATAATATAGTGTACGTCATTAAGTGCCAGGAGGATTGCTGTTTATCATGCATCAGGGAAACCAAACAACCTCTCGCTAAACACACAGAAGACCTGCGTCCTTGGGGTGGGACTCTGCAGTCTTTTGAACCTGCAGGCCAGTGGCCAATCTTTCAATTATGAGGAAGTGCACATCCTGGGCAGGGAGCAACACTGGTTAGAGCGAGTAGCCAAGGAAGGCGAACAACCATAGTACGTCTGTCACCTTCTTACAGTGCCCTGATTGCAGCCACTCCTAAGCTCACTGTGAGTCGTACTGATTAATGTTCATTATGACTAGTTTACTGCATAAACCTTCAGAAAAACGAAAGATATTGATGAAAATAAAATAAATATCAGCAAAAGGCCCCAGATTTAAGAGGTTAAATGCCTCTGAGCTGAACTGCATTCATATTATGTAAACTGAGCAAGTCCCATTTGTCCGCTAAGGCAGTTATGCCATTAAATCGAAGTGAGTTTTTCATCTGCTCCAATACAGAAACTATATTATACAATTAAATTATGCCTAACAAAGACATCATCATACATCTGGCTAACAGAGTTACACTTCTGGTTTCTCATATTACTCTAGCCTGGATCTGGCAAATGTAAATGACTGTACAAATATGAATACAGCAGTTAATCTATTAAAGTGTGCTGCAGTTCACTGACCACACACAGTCCACTGTGGAGAGCACGAGCTTGTTGTGTCCCAGGCCGCTGTAAAACTTGTCGGAGCCTTTTTTCAGAAAATGAACCGCCATCTCAACTCCCTCTGAGCCAAACAGTTCCTATGAAACAGAAGAGGCAGCAAACAAACACAGACTCACCGGATATCCAACTACCCAGCTCTAAGCGCTTTAATTAAGTTAGCAATATGAGCTTTACCTTTCTGTGCATGTCGGTCTCACACAGCGTTGAAAGGATCACCTGAATATCCGACTTTATCTCCAGAGCGACGACGTCATCTTCATCAGGACCCGCGTCTATCTGCATGAGAATCCCTGAGGAAACACGACAGCTTTGACTCTACTGAATTCATCAACAGTAAATGTTGATATTGAGCATGTGTCATGTGTCCAGTCCAGTCACCCAGAAGCTGGTTGATGATTCCCTGATCACAGAGGTCCTGGTTTACAGACTCTTCACCCAGAGAAGTCACCGATCTCAGCACTCTGATACAGTGCCGCGTCTGCGCCTTCTTACCGCCTCTGCCTCCGGTGGCGTGGAAGCTGTGACCCTGGCCAAAGTAAGAATCTGGAATAAAGGAGAGAATATAGTTACTGACTGATTGATCAGTTTGTGAAAAAGTTTGCGAACCCTTTAAGATTTTGTATATTTCTGCATAGATATTATCTAAAATATAATTAGTGTTTTACCCATTTCCTAAATACAGATAAAGAAAACCTGATTAAAAATTCAAATGAAAATGTTTCATTGGACTTTATTTAATGAGGTGTGTATTACATGGATTACATACTTCATTAAAAGTCAAAAGCATGTGAGAGTCCTATATTTTGTCAGGTTATCCCACTTATGAGTCCGTGTTACATGGCTTCAGTCGCCTTCAGTTTCCTTGATTAGTACACAGTCTGTCTGACGGTGGATTGGTTTGTGTAGACCAGGGGTGGGCAATCTCAGTCCACGAGGGCCGGTGTCCCTGCGGGTTTTAGATCTCACCTTGGGTCAACACACCTGAATCACATGATTAGTTCGTTACCAGGCCTCTGGAGAACTTCAGGACATGTTTAAATCAGCTGTGTTGGTTCGAGGACACATCTAAAACCTGCAGGGACACCGGCCCTCGTGGACTGAGATTGCCCACCCCTGGTGTAGACCAAACTCTTTAGAGACGGATGAGCATCCGTCCATAGAAATCTTTATAATTAAGAAAATTGATTTTAAATAGCTAATTTAAAATGTTTACAAAGTGCTCTGACAGACAGGAAAAAGCAGAATACTGAAAGGCTTATATCTACACCGTAAGCCAAACACTTAAGTCACTCAAACCAAGAACAATTTAAAACTGACAACCAAAAACGAATAATAAAAAAACCAAAACACAAAATGCAAAAATATCTCATGTAATGGAATTGCTGAGTCATAAAAATGTGTTTAAAGAAGCATTTTAAAGATGTTTCTGGTTTTGTGAGTCTTATCTCCTCGGGTGGGTTGTTCCAAAGTCTGAGAGGCACTGATAGCAAACAGTCTGGTCATCGTTTGATTTGCAGTAAGCCTTGACATTGGCACAGCTAAAAGGGACACACCTGACACACATAAGGCTTCAACCTGGCTCACACGGGGGTCAAACAGGGCCAGACATGCTTTAACAGTGATCCGTTAAACCTCAAAATCTATTTTTAAAATTACAGGGAGTCAACGAAGAGAAGCCAGGATTGGGGCGATGAAACGCCTTCTGCTTAAAGCCAGAATTATATAGCTAGATAATGAATTCCTCAAACACATGTTGATAAATTAGATTTAAATAAATCCACTGTTAAAAAATAAAGACCAGGTGCCCCCTCACACCTTTTGTCCCTCTAACTGAAAACACCTGCCTCTAATTTAAAATTAATAAATAACAAATAAAGAACTGTCTGAAGTTTATCCATAAGCTAAGAATGTCACGGGCCTGGGTCTGGGGACCCAGGGTTCATGTGTTTCTTGTGGACTTGTTTATATTTCTGGGTTTATCTTGGGTTGGTCGCCCTGCCTGTGTGTCTGTTTAACATGCCTTGCTGTCATATGTTTGTTGTTGTCCTCTCCCGTTCCCTCGTTTCCTTATGTACGAGTTGATGTGCGTGTGTGTGTGTGTGTGTGTGGTGGTGTCCGGGGTTTCCTGAGACATCAGGCCCGGAGAGTTTTTCCCGTAGGGGAGCCAGCCACACCTGAGGGATAATTAACACACCTGTTGCTGATCAGCTTCATCTGAAGGGATTACTTAACAGAGGAGCTGAACTTCAGTTGATGTGGGAATTTTGTGAGAAACCCCGTCTGGTCCCAGCTAGTTTGTGACAGTGTCTTGGTTCTCTGATCGTTGCATGTACTAACAGCAACCTGTCGTTGTTTCCAGAGGGTTGCGGAAATGAGTGGAAGAAGTGTAGCGCTGTTGGCACGATCGGGAGAAGATTAACTCACCAAAGACAGTGAGAAGCCACAGCACGGGAGCAGGGAACGAGCATGGGAAGCATGGAGAGGATTATTTGCATCTTTGTCTTGCTTTACTGTAAACAAACACACTGAGCTCTACACAGGAAGTCCTGTGTTTGGGTCCTGCTTTCATATCTTTGGCAAAGAAAGTAGTTAAAGTGACAGAGATTATAAGGCACAAGTTAAAGCGTCAGCTGAAGTGCTGAGAGGAGTTGAAATGTGTATTATTTAAGAGCGATTTTTGGTTAGATTTGGGGGTGTGATTATGAGGTATTTTGTAAGCTGTGAAACTAGTTAAACTATCAGTTGTATAAAAAAAATAACCTTTAAGAGACAAAAGAAGCTGAAGAGTATGATTAAAAAGTAAGAGATAAAAGCTGTTTAAATGTCTGTTGTGTAGCAAATCATGGTAATGACAAAAAGTGAGTGTATAAGTGACTTTGTTTGGCTCAAATACACTCCGATAGGACACTGCAATTCCCTTGACCTTTAACCTTTCAGATACAGTACAGATTCTGCTTGTTCTTGTTTTTCTTGTGTTTCCTAACCTGGCCCAACACACCAGTCCAGCAGGAGTAGCAGACAGGTACTCCCCTCACAGGAAATGTACTCCTCCAACATGAGCGGCCCGATGGTGGCGAGGGTGGCCAGCGCCTGCAGCTGGAGCTCCTCCTTCTGCGCAGCGGACCAGTGACGTGACCCCGACTGACGCTCAGACGAGGAGGCGACAGGCGGCTTCATGAGCGCCAGCAGAGCCAGAACAACACGTTCTTCTTTATAAAGCTGAGAGAAGAAAACTGAGTCATCACACAGGTTATCCAAACTTAAACAATGATTGGGTGAGCGTGTGACTGACCTGCAGGGCAGCAGAGTCCCTCGACATAACAACCAGCAGATTCAACAGCGACTTCTTCATTTTCAAGTCTTCGTTACTATAGCTGAGCTTCAGGTTGCGGATCAAAGGGTTGTGACTTTTCACTAAAACATAAAAAAAAGCAGTTTTATTTTCATAAAAGATGCTACTGTATTCATGAATAATGAAGTCATTTGTAAAAAGTGTGTAACATTTAAAGGATCGAGTGCCCTCACGCTCTGGAAATGTGCTGAAAACCACAAGCTGTTTGGCAAATGAACTCTCCTGAAAATTAGAAACACTTCAAATTATTTAAAAAATTCATAAAAACAACCGGTGGGTGAAAAAAAGTAACAAATTACTATTCATTAAACTGTCCTGTACTCACAATAAGCTGTGAGCCTGGACTTTCTGCAATGAGAGTTGTGATCACGAGCAGATCGTTTCTGAGTTGGAGGTCTGAATGTCCAGAGCCGGTGTTCAGCAGGTGAAAAAATGCTTCTTTCAGAGAGCTGAGGAACAAATAAAGCCAAAAGTCAGATATCAAAGGATAAATGACAGCACAAAGGCCTGCCACATAAGGAACACACAACCAACAGAAATCAGACGAATTACAAATAATTAAACTTTTCCATTAAAAATGATGGTTTGGCTAAAATCAGAGCTGCGGGCATTTCAATTACCCGTATAAGAAATGTAAAATCATTACACATAACAAAAGAATTATGTATTTATGTTTATTTCATTGTAGTTCTGTATTTCTTCCCTAGTCTTTTAAAGGTGTGTTGATTGTTCGATGCATTTAATAGATTAGAAAAACATTGTACTTAAAATCTTGAAATTTTTGTGAAGTAAACTCCAAGGAAATTTCCCTCATGCTGCCTCATTTAAAAGATCCTACATCCATCAGGCACATGGTGCATATTTAAAAGCATCTTAAATGAGGAGGACACGCGTACAGGACACACTCCAGGGTGCCGAGCTGAGCGGTGACCACCTCCTTGTTGCCCCTCTCCAGCAGGTTCCAGAGGATTTCGGAAGAACGGAACAGGACCTGGCCGGTCGGATCGTGGTCGTTCATGTGGAGACATATCGTCTCTGCTCCTTGTGCGTGGAGTATTGAAGAACAGTTCATATCTGTGGTTGTAAAGTGAAACATAGGCGTGTGTAACCTAGTAAATAACCCAGTTATTTTAAGGACACTTAAAATCATCATTGTCCGAAAGTCTGATTTATGTTCTTGAGAGCTGGCTACGTTCTCCAATGAAGGAGGTCATCTGCTCCTCCCCTTCCCTCCCTCACTGGCTCTGCATTGAAATAAATGACTGACCAGAGCAGCTGGAGAGGATCTGAAGGATGTGAAGGAGTTGCAGTTTGATGGTGGGCTGGTTTTCGAGAGTGGCCATGGAGAGGAGAAGTGTCTTAGCCAGCTCACTGCGCTCCAGCAGCTGCAGCCTGTAGCCTGGAGAGGTCGGCTGGAGGCCTGAGGAAACAGAGCAGTAACATTATTAAATACAACTATAAATGTTTAAATGCCAGGTTCAACATCAGGGAAGAAACAAGCTAAGAGATCATTATAAGCCATTTAAAGTGGACTTATTAAGGTGATTTCCAGCCCCACGTTTCGACTGTACTGCAGTAGTTTCGTATGACTCACAGTTCAAAATTATTTATCTTGTACTCAGCAATAACGCAATCCCTCACATCAGCTTCTGTTTAAAACAAGTCATTTTAGCCCTTTTCCTCTTACCCCAACCTCATCCTGATTGGCTGACCCTCACAAACAGAAGCAGGTGGTGCTTCTATGCTTACATCCAGAGTTGTGCAACTTAGATGAACATATTAGAGCTATCAGCCTTTACAGAGCCAGGAGATGAAAAAAAGGCTTTTGTCAAACATGGATTCATTAATTAATCTCCTCAATACCCAAAACTTTGAAATATTAAAAATAATCATTAAAAATTCTAAAAGCGTGCATAAAACAGAAATTAAGGAAAAGCACATTATGTCCACTTTAAGGAACAAGACAATTACACTGATAACTAAAGAGGAATCAACATTAAAAAAGTCATGCCACAGTCAGAAAATGATGGTCAGTTACTTTAATAAGGACTAAACTAACAACAAAATATATAAGTAAAAATGAGCCCTTGTAGTGACCAGCCACCTACTTCACACTGGTGATATGACTCTTGAAAGTCTACCCAAAACACTCTTTTAAATTATCAGAAAAATAAGTTACCAATCCTTATTTCAGCCTCATATTTGACAGATTTTATGATCTATTCAACTTGTGCTATCATGTGTTCAAAAACTTTATCTTTTAATCCTGAACAGCCTCATAGGACACTGGGTATGGCTGTAAGGTCATGTACATATCTATATGAAATCTAACCAATTCTAATAAAGAAAACATGAAGAAAACAAATGAAAAGAAAAGAGAAGAAACACAAAGGACAAAGAAAAGCACAAGCATGCCACCACAGTCGCCATGACAGAGCCTCACTTAGTGAAAGTCTAGAAAATCGGTTGTTAGAAGGGAAAGTCCGAGGCTTTCGTGTGGTACCATCCGTACCATCGAGCATCTGTTTGGGAGCCACAGAGCTGTAGAATGATTTCACGCATTCAAATATGAGCTGCCTCACTTCGGCATCAGACACTCTCATCAGACTCCCTGCCAAGAGAAACACAACTCAGAAGCGTTCCATGTCGTCATTCTCATCTGAAGAATATTAAAACTGGACTAACTTAATCCGCAACTGTGCAAGTTTCAAGTTTAACCATTTAAATTAATGGAAGTTTACTCTTTTTAAGTTAACAAAAAGTTCAAATGATTAAACATTTCTTAAAATTTAATAATCTATGTTTCTGAGTTGTTTTTAAACATTTACATTTTTAGAGGGAGCTAGCTTGTTTTGAATGTCATGCAGCATGTAAGGTTAACATGCCACAGCAGAAATCTTTTGATTATTAGGTTTGTAAAAATGTGATCATGTATCACAAACAAGACCATTAAAAACCAATTAAAATAATAAAAATGTTTCAAAATTAGAAGCTGGAATTATGAAATGTTTCACAATTTTGTTCCTGTTTTTTTTATTTTTAACACTATGAGCAAATAATGTGACTTTCTGTCTTTAAAAAAAAAACAAAAAAAACAACACAATTTGCACCTGTATATAAATGTATTTAAAGCAGCAGTGACTGGCCAATCTGCGAGCGCTTTATTACCCATATGAGAGAGAAACTCTGTGACGTCCTGAGCGTAGTGCAGCTCGTCAGATGTCTTCTCCTTCAGAAAGGGAAGCCTGAGACGAAAGACAGCAGCACTCTGACGATCAGATCATCTTGTGAGATAAAATATGAGCTGTTTGCTTGAAGGGTTTCTTACCTACAAATTGTAAGAGCTTCACACAGAATGGACACATATTCGGGGTGATCTGTCACCTTCTCTGCGCAGATGTTGAGTATTTTTGCGATGGCTGTCAGTTCTTTTAAAAGCTTCAGACAGTTAAAGAAGTTTTTGGCAGATTTTTGACTCATGCAGAGCTAAATCCCGACAAGGAGATGGGTGATGGGTCATTGTGATAACTCAGCCTATTTCTGAACACAGAAAATGCTGACAGAAAGAGTGATGCTGTGATAAATTAGAGCCTTGGGACCAATGTTTGGTTTTGTGTTTACATGGTATGAGAGCAGATCTATTTCCATCACTGCAGCAGGGGACCATAATGAGGAAAATTTGACAATCTGCTGCGCTGTGTGACACATGAGAGGGGTTTCTTAGAAAGACAGTCTACAATAAGAGAAAGAAATGAAAGGATACAAAGCCAATTTGGCTTTTCTTCAGTAGTTTCTTCAGAACAAAAAGGTGCCTTTCCTTCAAGTTAGTCTTTAGTAAAAATAGGGGGATTAAATGCACTATATGTGTAATACAATAGCAGAAAAAAGAGGACTGGCATTCAGGTTTTTAACTTACTGTCAAAGGATCTTCAAGAAGACGAATCACCTTACTGAGATCGAGACTTTTAGCATTAACCTGGAGAGGAATTTAGGTTATAGTTTCGGCTGGGATATAATTTGCAATTTCTGAAATGCTCAGAAAAGTCAGAAACAATTTAACAGCAACACTATTGTGTTCAGCTGTTGATCCTTTAAATACCTGTAAATCAGGCGTTATCACACTCTAACAATGTCATTTACTTTCCCAGTGGAGACATTTCCAAACTGCTCACCTCCTGATGGCGGTGGCTCTTCTGGGATGCTTTCAAACCGATTACAGGGATCCCCGGCTTTCTTCTGTGCACAACTTTTCCCGAATCCATTTGTAAATTCAGAACCGCTTTCTGGCTTCAGTTTTTAAAGGCTAAAATTTTCAAAAATTAAACATCCTCTTTTTTTTAATACCTGCTGTTTTTGTTTTCGAACAAACGTGCTAACATTAAACGATGCTCAGCCTGAGCTTACGTAGATTTTTAACAATCACCTCTCCTCTTCTTCTCTCCGTTTATGTTGCCAGTCTGACGGCGTACTGCCGTTGCTATGGTTACCCTGGCAGTACGGAGAGCGGCAGAGTTCAAAAATCAGAGCGACACGCCCATTTCCTTTTCAAAACCGGAAGTGGTATTCTGGAAACGACAGCGCATTGATTTTCGTCCCCACAACAATAAAATCGAGACAAAACAACGATTGAAAGCAAAAAGGCGTCTCAGAATTTCACTTGGACGTCGAGGGCTTGTAAGAAACCCCGCGGGCAGTCATGCTGTCGGACGCAGGTCAGTGCTAAAGAGGCGCCGCTGCTGCTTGCTAGGTGCTAAAGTGACAGCTGACGTTGTTGGGCGGATTTAAAGAGCTGGCTAATGTGCGCGTCTTTGCTATGTTTACATACCAATTGGCCTCGTGTTTCGGTCGCTTTTTTTCAGCTATTTATAACCTGAGTGAATTCTATGTTTTTGCACACGTGTTCTATGTCATAAATATCTTTTGTTGGCGTTAACAGAGGCCCGAGCTGCACTACACAGTCACTATTATATTGTTGTCATTGGTGTTAAGACTATCCCGGTAATGCTTCTGGTGCACGGAGAGCCAAGAAGAGGAGCTCCGGGGAGTCACCAGGGGACGGACAGACACTGCGCTCCTCAGGAAGGCAGGTCAACGTCCGGGTGAAGCGCACCAACAACCCTCCACCTGGTCAGGTAAGGTACACAATGAGTTAATATACTGACTATATCTCGGTTAAGTTTCAGTTCGCATTCATGCAAAGTAGGGTCACACAAAGGTTTCAGTTTGGTTTTTAATGTTTCCAGGTGTGCAGTTTTAGGTAAATTTTGCTTTTATTATTATACTAGAAGGTTAGTTGTCAGGGGGCAGTGTTTAAGCAATTCATCAACAAAGCACTTTTTAAAGCCAGTTGACTGGCAGTGATGTAGACGTAGAAGTCTTAGTCAACATACCACCAACACACCTCATGAAGTTATGAGGATTTGCCCCTTGACCTCTGTTGAGGTTGTTGGGCCACCACTCTCTGGGTCTCTGTGGGCTTCGTGCCTACCTGTTCACAGATCTTATCCACCCATAATCTTAATCTGTCTGTTTTGTCTCTGCATTCACTTAACTGTTCCTTGCAGTATGATTTTCACAAGGCCTGAAAAACCGGAGACACTCTATATACCATCTCAAGTTGCAAAGAGATTATGCAGACCTTTTATACCTGTCACAGGTTTAGGGCATGAGATCTTCCTGTAGCATCTCAACTTATGCTACGATTCTTCTTACGGTTTTGCCGTAAGAAGACACTACTGACACTCAAAAGACAACAGAGCACAGCAGGTAGACTTTGGATCGGAGACAGATGTTTTTGTCTCTAGATTCCCGTAACGCTTGCTATGACAGCTGTGTTAGCCTTGCCACAATCTTAGGTTTTGAGCTTTCATTTGATACAGTATGACAGGACCAAGGTACATGAAATCCTTCATTATTTCTAGTCTTCTCCTGCTAACTTTAACCAAATCCCATAATTTACAGGGAGATTCCTAAGCCCCCTATATTATATGTGCACCACATTGTTCAAATTAAATTTATGCCCATAGTCAGAATATGCATTTCTATATATATTATGTGTTCCTGAAGTCTGTCTCAAAGAAATTACTTTAAAAACCAAGGCTAGTTAGAACTGTCCAGTCAAAGCAACAAGATCCTAGGGTTGAAGCTAGGCTAGAGCTTTTCCATGTAGTGTTTGTATGTTGGCCTGCATGTGGTTGTCTTGGAGTGTATGTTACATTAAATTGTGATTGTGAATTGGACATAGGAATGAATGTGAATCTCATGATATTTCATGTTTTCTCTTTGGATTACAGAGCAAAAGAAAAGCCACAGACACAGAGGAAGAAGATGACCAGTCTGAGAAGAAGTACAGAAAATGTGAGAAGGCTGGGTGTTCTGCCATGTACCCTGTTTGTTTTGCAAGCGCATCTGAAAGGTAACATCAGATGTCAGGTAAATCAGATAGTTACTTATATCACTTTTTACAGTTCTCAAACAGCACTTCTTGTCTCTTTTCAGATGTGCTAAAAATGGGTACACGTCGCGGTGGTATCATCTGTCATGTGGGGAGCATTTTTGCAATGAGTGTTTTGATCACTACTACAGAAGGTGAGACAAATGCAGGCTGAAGATATGAATAGTGTTTCTGTAGCACTGCTTAAAACGCCTCTAAGTTGTTTACAGTGATTTCTGCTACATTAAGTTGAGAAGATGGATATTTTATGGTTTCCATCATCTCAGAAATTTAGTGGCACGCTTCCCTCTCTCGTTTGCAGCAATCTATTTAATACTAAATGTTAACATACCAAGAAGGCACAAAATTACAGTTACACACAGACAACATTTATAACAGCAAGCATATTTAAAAGGTGTAAAAGAAAAGAAACTGCAGAACCCTCAACAAACAACTGTTCTGACTGACACGTGGTTTAAAAATCACAGAATTTCACATCAATCCACTGACCGTCAGATTAATGCATCATGTAAAGCGTTACAGATGTTGTACTGGTTGGTTGCAGTGCTGAGTGAAAAAAAAACATCTTAATGTACCAGTGGATCTACATTCCTACTCTCTCTAATTACTGCGAGCAAAGAGAGGAAACCGATATGGATACAAGCAACGGAAATGAGTGTCTTCTGAAGAGTATCTGGGCTCTCCCTTAGAGACAGGGTGAGCAGTTTAATCATTCAGGAGCAAGTCAAGACTAGAGCAGGAACCCCTCCACATTGAAAGAAGCCACATGATGTGGTTCAGCATCTGATTGGCACATCTAGGATCTGTTTCACGCCTATCAGACTGGGAGGAGATCCCAGGAAAAATTTAGGACATGCTGGAAAAATTATGTCCTATGGCTGGTTTGGGAATTCCTTTGTGTCCCCTCAGAAGAACTAGAAGAGGTGGCCTAGTTGAGGGAAATCTAGACGTCAATGAAACTGCTGCTGAAAGGATAATTGGATGGATTGATATTTTTCTATCTTTTTTCCCCTTCAATGTTCTTTCTAAAGAAGGGAGGAAACCAGTGCATAACATTTAATCTGAGTTTTTTTTCTTTCCCCATATCAGTGCTGTTTGATTTTTGCCACTTGCTTTGAGTCATTAAATTATAAGTATGTATCGCTGTATACACGCAAACCTGAAACAGCCGTGGGTTCAGTAATATTACTTTTGAAATTATGTCACATGTTCCTCAGACCTATTTACATTGTTTCTGCACTACCAAACTTTGAAGCTGTGAGTTACTTGTCAAAATAATTAGAATAACTTTTTTTTTCGCTCCTTCACTTCAGTCACAAAGACGGCTTTGAGACCTTTGCTTCGTGGAAGAAAGTGTGGACTAGTAATGGGAAAAGTGAGCCCAGTCTTAAAGCTTTCATGGCAGATCAGCAGCTGCCATACTGGGTATGTATAAGAAGCTTTTCTGGTTCTAGATACATGTATTAACTGTTCACACATGTAGCTACGTGTCATAAATACTGTGAAACGTTCATTTCCTTCAGGCTCAATGCACCAAGCCTGACTGCAGGAAGTGGCGCCAGCTGACCAAGGAGATCCAGCTCACTGCCTCCTTAGCAGCAGCATACCGCTGTGGGATGAAGTTCAACAACATTAAGGTAAAGAGGGAAAGATATAATCATCCATCCCCATCAAGACAAAAATCTATTTTTCTGATAAAAATCTTGCTCATTTGCCTACAGAGCGAGGAACCCGACCAGTGCTCCCAACCAGAGGACTTGGTAAGCTAGTTATGTTTGCTAGAATCTGTTTGAGGACAGTGTGTAAACTTTACAAGTTACTGCATTTGTTTAATGCTGAGCTGTTTTATTCCTGAAGAGAGTGGCAGAGGTGACGGACAGCTGGTGGCATTCAATGCTCATTTTGCCGCCACTGTTTAAAGACAGCCCAGCCACCCCTTTCCTCACTGCGTACTACCCCGACTGTGTGGGGATGAGTCCATCAGGTTCTTCTAGCAACATGTCTCTGGGCGAGCTGAGGGCGGATCACTGCAGAGCTGCTCAGCCTCAAAGTAAGTCTGAGTTCAGAAAAAATGCCATATTTAAACACCTACTATTCACCATGCTATGTTGTACACATAATTACTGTTTTGTGTCCCCATTGGAGATCCCGATCATTATTATGTCCCTCAGTTCCAGGCTTGTGTCCATACTTCCAGCCCTTTTACCAGCCAAATGAGTGCGGAAAGGCTCTGTGTGTGCGGCCTGATATGATGGAGCTAGATGAGCTTTATGAGTTTCCAGAGTTTTCCCGCGATCCCACCATGTATCTGGCTCTGCGTAACCTTATCCTGGCCTCCTGGCACAAGAACTGTAAGGTACAACAAAGACAAAAGTGACCACTGGGGTCATTTAAAATCTCAAATAAGGGTGAAAAAGATCACTCAGAATCACCAATGTTTTTTTTTAATTAAATTTTATTTTAGTGTAGAAAAATATTTTGTTTAAATTCAGAGGTGTCATGGGATTTGTCTTTGTACAAATAATAAAACTCAACCAGTTTAATATGTTTAAACTAGGCTATATATAATATGTGTGCGTGTGCGTTCTTTTCACCTTTTCCTACAAAAAAGGAACAGAAGTCTCCAAAAGAACAACAAACAAATAAAATGATTACATTTTCTTCCTGTTTTTCTTTGAAGGAGGTGCTGACTTCAGAGAAATGTGCCCAGCACATCATTGTTCGTGGGTTGGTGCGTGTGCGCTGCGTGCAGGAGTTGGACCGAGTGCTCCATTTCATGACCAGGAAGGGTCTCATCAACACCGGTGTGCTGGCAGCAAAACAGCCTCTGCTCCCAGAAACTTACTGCTCTGTGAGTGTCCTCATCTACACAAGATTATTACACATCTGTGCTGTCATGTAAAGTTTTTATTGTTTTTGCTACTACTTATTTTATAATGCCTTTTAGCACCTTGTACATTTTATGATTTTTATGCAGAAAAATGTTATCATCATCGGTGCTGGGGCTTCAGGACTGGCTGCTGCACGCCAGCTGCAAAACTTTGGCACTCAGGTAAAGATCCTCATGTCATCTGGAGTCTCGTTGCATCTTTTCCCTGATTGTGATCAAATAGTTAATTTCGCTTAGGAAGTTTCCTGTTTGTATGACCATGAAAACATTTCATTTCTCTGCTGTCTGCCAAGAAGGTTGTGTTTTTTGGTAGTATTTCTGTGCACATCATTCACTCTGTAAACACGACAGCTCTAAAAGTTTTTAATGAATTCTTTATAAGGGTCTAGATTGGAGTCATGTTAGCAATCCATTAAAATTCAACCTACTTTCACCAAAGACTTGTAACTTACAAATGATGGTTTTTGTAAGTGTGGTGCGTATTGTCAACATAGAAAGTACCATATAAAGATTTAAAATATCATGTCACATCTGACCTTTGACCTCTCCTTCAATGTCAGTCAATAGATCTGAACGTCAAAGTGATAAACAAGTTATATAGAGCTATCTAAAACTGTGTTTACTACCATTGTTTGTATTCCCAACGTATGGGGAATGACATATGGGGTGTTTTACTGTTTACAGATGCTCAGTTCTTACTAACTGAGAGTATTATGCACACTTGGTGTAGTGTGCCAAGAAAATGTCTTCTGCTCAGAGAAATCCTGCTCACTGCATATTTTCTTTTTCGGGCCCGGGTGTTGTGTGTGGGGAAAAACCCAGTAGACTGAGAAACACAGACTAGCCCATCTGGCACCAACAGCCATGCCACGTTCAAAGTTCCTTAAATCACCTTTCTTATCCATTCTGATCCTACATGCTTAACTGCATTGGGTTTTACCATGTGATTGGCTGAGTAGATATTTGCATCAATAAGCAGTTGAACAGGTGTACCTAATTAATTGTTCTGTGAGTGTATTTCACCCTGATGAGTTTTACATACAGTCTTTGTTTGTTTGGGCTTACAGGTGGTGGTGCTCGAGGCGAGAGACAGAATAGGTGGTCGGGTGTGGGATGATGCCTCTCTGGGTGTCACTGTGGGTCGAGGAGCTCAAATCGTTAATGGCTGTGTAAACAACCCCATTGCCCTGATGTGTGAACAGGTAAGAATGAATGTGCTGAACTTTACCTATTTCTGATAAATCTTAAGTCAGAGCTTTGCAAAAGTTTCAGTTTTAATGCCGAAATATTTTTAAGACCCTTTTCCTTTTTGTAATGAATGCAGAAATGCAACTTCAGTGTTGCATTATTGAAAGGACAGGTTACCGGACACTTTAGGAACTCTACAAGTTCATACTCTTAGAAGTTAATATTTTTAAACTGTGCCACCTGTGTTCAGTCTTCTTTACCTGCCATGGTGAACCTAGGGTTGAGATATGCTGATCATAGTTTTGTTTGTTTTGTTGTATATATTTAAGTTTACCTGGAATTCCTTTTTACAGACTTGTCCATGCTCACAGTACATAGACATGCATCGTTTTTATTTAGCCCCGCTGTGCTCTCTAGTTTTGGAACCACTGTTCCACTGTCTGTAATTTTTTTTTTTAAATGCATATTAAATTTGATAAATAAAAAAACATTACTATTAGGTACTCTTTTGTGACTTCCCTCCTGCAGTTGGGCATCAAGATGCACAAGCTCGGAGAGCGATGTGACCTCTTTCAGGAGGGAGGGCAGGTCACTGACCCTGCCATCGACAAGCGCATGGACTTCCACTTTAATGCCATCCTGGATGTGGTGTCAGAATGGAGGAAGGACAAGTCGCAGAACCAGGACACACCACTGGGAGGTGCTGTCATCATGTGTTTCACTGAAGCTCCTTTTGCTAATTCTTTTTGATGAGAATTCCCAATGAGAGAAGAAAAGTCTCACAAAGCTACTCTTGCCTCATCATGTTTGGGTCATGATCTTAGAAAATATTTCTTAAAATGATTTCCCCCCCCACTAGCAGTTACAGCAGTGTTTGCACTTATTATGCTGCAGTCAGGACTTTGAACTCTGTGTATAAAATACTGATGTCATGGCTGTTTTATTAAGAAGTAGTTCTAAAATCATTGACTGTTTCTAAAAGATGGCCATAGCCACTATGACACTTGTGAGTGAGGTCCAGCTGCTCGCCCTAAAACACACCCTGCTTTTTTGTCAGTTTAATTTTAAAAGGAACCATAATTTATTAAATGAATATTGTATTAAATAAGCCTAGAAACTAGCAAATAAGATCATAAAATCATCAGAGAAGTGTTTGCTAAGATCACAGGTCAACCGACTCGTAGGATCATATTTCCTAAGACTTCTTCTGTGCAAGTCCTTTTTTTAAACTAAATGAGTCGCCCCCTGCTGGCCAACACAATGCATGGTTAACTTTCACATTGGCTTCATGTTTCAGATGTGAACTCTTAAGTTCATCTTTCATATTCTGGAGGAGTGCTCCTCAGCAAAGCTCCTGTACAGAAACAGGAAATATTTGTGTCTGTGGCATTTTCTCATTACAGAAAAAGTCCAAGAAGTTAAGAAGAACTTTCTCCAGGAGTCTGGGATGCAATTCAGTGAGCTGGAGGAGAAGGTGCTTCAGTTTCACCTCAGCAACCTGGAGTTTGCCTGTGGAAGCACATTAGACCAGGTCTGGAAACTAAACTTAAAGAGTTTTTCAGATTTATTTTGTTGTAATTTTTTTATGAGTTTAACAGAAAGCTCAGGCTGGGTGTTTATTATGATGAAAACTGTAACTTCCCACATCGGAAATTATTCACGCTCTGAGATGACTAATAAGAATTAGTCTGTTTGAGGTGTGAGGTTTGTTTTTTATTTTTAGTGGAAAGTCTTTCAGTGTTTCTGATCCCTTAAGAAAGAAATTTTAAGGTGAATGTAGTTGAACATATTGTGTTTTTTATTTGAGGATTTATGTAAATTGTATTAGATTATAGCACTGGGACTGAAAGTGAATTAGTATTTTTCTGGCTGTTTTGTAGGTATCGGCAAGATCCTGGGACCACAATGAATTTTTTGCCCAATTCTCAGGAGACCACACTTTGCTTACCAAGGGCTACTCTGTTTTACTCTACAAACTGGCCGAGGGCCTCGACATCCACACAAAGTGTCCGGTCTGTATTCCAGTTTTTTAAACTCTATAGTTTACCTTGAATCCACCTGCATTACATTCTTGAAGTCTTATGCTTATTAGATAAAAGTTTACTTTTTAAAAATTGTAGGTTCAGGCCATTGATTACTCAGGTGACGTTGTCAAAGTTACCTCCTCTGATGGGTCGCAGTGGACAGCACAGAAGGTAAAAACATCTTTGCTGTTATAGTGTACAGTTTCTGTTATCTAAATACAGAATCTTATGATCTCAGTTAATCTTTTAGTTACTCTAACAGCCTAATGTCATCTTTCAGGTTCTTGTTACAGTTCCTTTGACTTTGCTTCAGAGGAACCTGATTCAATTCAACCCTTCACTTCCTGAAAGGAAATTGAAGGCGATCCACAGTCTGGGGGCGGGTATAATAGAAAAGGTCATTAAAGTTCAACTAACCTACTGTGCTGCATTAGAATAAAAAGGATGATGAAGTTGCTTCCCGGTAGTTGCTCATATTTACTCTTTGTTCTGTGTGCAGATCTCGCTTCAGTTCCCGTACAGATTCTGGGACAAAAAAATCCAAGGAGCAGACTACTTCGGTCACATCCCACCAGGTCTTGAAAAGAGAGGCATGTTCAGTGTCTTCTACGACCTGGATCCACAGGTGTGTTTTTGTTCTTGTGTTGAGCGGTTTGGAGACAAGGTTAGAGAGGCAAAGCTAAGGTGGTTTGGACATGTGCAGATGAAGGAGAGTGAATGTATTGGACAAAGATGGTGAAGATGGAGATGACAGGCAGGAGGAAAGGATGAAGAGTAAAGAAATGGTTCGTGCATGCAGTGAAGGAGGACATGCAAAGCGTAGGTGCAATAGAAGAGGATGCTAGAAATGGGGTAAGATGGTGGCAGATGATCGACAAATCAGAGAAACAGCCAAACGAATAAGAAGTTTATCCACGTGGCCAGAAAAGTTAGAGCCGCTGGTCTTAGGGTGCAAAATTGTATTTATATTTAAATTGACAAATGGTGTAGAAAAAGATGGAGGAGATTAATACGGAATCTAATGGTTTAAATGTGTGTTTGTGTAGAGGAAGCAGGCTGTGCTGATGTCTATTATCAGTGGTGACGCTGTTTCTTCTGTGCGGGACATGGAGGACAAAGAGGTGGTTGATGAGTGCATGAGGGTACTGCGGGAACTTTTCAAAGAGCAGGTAATCCTCCTACTTCTCCTAAAATCTTTCAGGAGTTATACTTAGAATGTTTGAGAATAATAAAGAAATAATAGGAGTATTTAAAAAAAAAAAAAAAATCATATTTTTGAAATGAGAGAGAACTCCGCCTGAAATTTGTTATATGATATTACCAGAAACCTTCCAAGAAAGTTAATTTGGATTCAATGTGTTATACCTGGTGAAATATCACATTGAAGTAAGATCCTCTGTCAGAGATTAAAGTATTTAAGGACTCCAAACATCCATCAATCAATATTCATAGACTCATTTTGTCAGATATTTACACAAAACAACTGAACAACTTTTGATATTTATTCTTTTTTATTTTTTTTAAGATACAGAAATTTAAAAAGAAAAAAAAGGTCTGTAAATTATATTACTACAAGGGCAGAAAGAACACCTCTACCTACAGCCATTAAAATATATTTTGGACAATGCTGACTTGAAATTTTGCATATCTCCTAATTAGAGGTGTATTATTTTCCCCTGGATTCCTGTTTTTTCATTTTTTCCTTTTATTTATTTTTTTTAGTCCCCAATGCTCTCATTTAAGTTCAGATTTATATATGCATGTATTTAGGAGGTTCCTGAGCCAATGAATTTCTTCATCACTCATTGGAGCAAAGACATCTGGTCCCAGATGTCCTACAGCTTTGTGAAGACAGGGGGCAGCGGAGAGGCCTACGACATTCTCGCTGAAGACGTGCAGGGAAAGGTGTTCTTTGCTGGCGAGGTAACATTTTTCACATTTTTACCAAATGAGTCCAGAAACGTCAGGTTTTATGAAGTGCTACTGAGGCATTTATTTCATTTCTATTTTACATAAATGTGTTTTGCATTAACACGATCCTGCTGTGGCTGTATGGATCACACTAACTTTGCATTCTTAATCTTTGTTGTAGAAATTGAGTCGCACAAGGCCTGTAATAGTGAGCCGCCTCATGTTTCAGTTATTTTTACAGGAATCATTTTAAATATTCGTTTTAGAGTCTGACTGAACGTTGACAGAAGTCATCCACCTTGAGGTTGACGGTCTGGAAACTCAGCTCCAAACATCATTAAGCAGCCTTTTGTGTTACCGCTTGTTTCCCTAAATCTCTTCTACAAAGGCAAGAGTGCAAAGTTTATGTGAGCCACAGACATTCTACATTTAATCACACTATCTCTGGCATCTCTTTTTCAATCCAGCAGGTTGAGGGGGCGGGGGGGATTAAATGATATTTGAGTCTTCTGTAGATGATGTCCAACAAAGATTTCTATTCAAAGATAACTTTTCTGATGTTCTAGAGCTGTTTAACACTAAAATGGACCTAAGTGGATAAGGATGAATTTGCTTATGATTTGTCAGTTAGAGAATCTAAATTCATTTGGTCAGTGCTTTGATGTCTTTCCCCTGTAACAGGTCTATGTTAATGTTATTACAGTGATTTAATTTAATGAAGTCTTCCAGTAAGCTGCTCTGCTCAATAAGAATGATTCTGGAGCAGCAGTCAGGCCTCGTATCCTTCTCTCCTGTTGTTTTCCTGCTCTGACAAATTAAAATGTGGAAATGGTCCCTATACACTTAAGGCCACTTTGTTAGGTACACCTTTTCAAATGTTTATTAATGCAAATATCTAATCGGCAAAACACATGGAAGCAGCTCAGTGCGTTTTGGAATTGTAGAGATGGGCAAGATCTCCTGCTGAAGCTTGAACTGAGCATCAGATGGGAAAGAAGAAGATTTGAGAGAATTTGATTGTAGCATGGTTGTTGGTGCCAGACAGGATGGTCTGAGTATTTTCATAGCTGCTGAGATTTTCCCACACAACCATGTATATGGTTTATGGAGAATGCAATTCTCAGAGCAAAAATGCCTTTTTGAGGTCAGAGGAAAATGGCCAGACTGCTTTGAGCTGATACTAAGGTAACAGTAACTCAAATAACCACCCATTGTACTGAAGTGAAGCAGAAGAGCATCTTTGAATGCAAAACACGCCAAACCTAGAAGCAGATGGGCTACAGCAGCAGAAGACCACACAGGAACAGGAAACTGAAGCTACAATTCTCATAGGCTCACCAAAACTAGACAACAAAAAGTTGGAAAAGTGTTGTCTGGTCTGATAAGTCTCCATTTCTGCTGTGACACTTAGATGGAAGGGTCAGAATTTGCGATCGATAACATGAAAGCATGGATCCATTCTGCTTTGTATCACAGGTACAAGCTGCTGGTATAAGAAGGTACGGATGTTTCCTGGACCTCCTGATTATTATTTATATTCTATAGCCTATCTAACCTCTCTGAAGACCAAAAGGAGGTCCAACACAGTATTAAGAAGATGTAGCTAACAAAGTGGCCATGAGTGTATATGGGTATTTTTAAACTAGCTCTCTGTGTCTGTGAAATGTGCTTGTAATGCATTTTGTCCCTTATATCAGGCAACCAACAGACACTTTCCTCAGACTGTGACGGGAGCCTACCTCAGTGGCGTCAGAGAGGCCAGCAAGATGGCCGCTATGTAACCTGTCACTCCCAGAGCACTCATAAACACCAGCACGGACTCACGGGTTGCACCGAACAACAGACCATTAATAAAGTCGGACTGTGTTGTCTCACTTGCTCCACTTGAAACACTGTTTTGCTGTACTGTAATGTATCTGATCAGCAAAGTGTCGTGAATGATTTTTCAGTAGCGGGGTTAGCCAGGGCCTGGCTCTACATATCTAACAAGTGCTTTTTATTTATATCAAAATCCAACAGGTAACATGTTGGTGACAAGATGCAAAAAAAAAGAAAAACAAAATTATGAGGAAGTCTCCATAGCCCCTAAGCAGCTCTGCCTAACTCTGCTGTGCTGGAAAGGAGGATGGTATTTTGTTTTAATGATAGCAATGCATGAAACATTGGAAAATCTGAGTGATCTGATCATAAACTTAACCGAATATAATTTAACCTCCAATCATCAGGTTTTAAGTGATTATAG